GATGACTTTAGAAGAAAGCCTCTTCAGATGCAAGTGTATCATGTATTCCACGATTAAGCTTAATATCCTGTGAAAATAGAAATGATGTTAGAAGATTATTTGTATACTCTTCAGAAACCTTTCTCAAATCAAACTTAAATAGGTTTCAAAACACGAAATGCACAAGCTTAAGAGTTACATCTTGACAACGATTGACAACACCAACATAACTAAGTTTAAGAGGAATTGTTTTGCCAAGAAAAAGATTGCAGACATCAGTGCCTCTGTCCATGATATCCAACTGTAGTTACAGAGACAAACAACTGCTGATTATGATATGCCTTACAACGAAACAATACAAAGTTCACAAAAGAGAACACGAAGAAGAAGAAAATGTTGACCTTTGTAATTACACTAATTGTACGATGACTTGAAAAGAAAGGGTATATAAGAGTTTAAGAATTAGAAGAAAAAGAATACATTAACAAAGCATAGTATATTTGATAATTACCATCAGGATCAGCATTCCCTGCCATTTGAAGTGCATCTGAATTTGCCAAATCTGAATTTAATTTGTCATTATTTAACGAAATAAAGAAGTTTCGTACTAGTTTCTTGGAGTGAGTACAATATCAGCAAGAAGAGATCCATGAGGTCCCCAAGTCTTATTGCTAGTTGTAACGTCCGCAAATCCGGGCTAGTCAATTTAGAGGCAATAGGGGTCGAAAACGACTTTTCGACAAAAGATTCTTTAGAATAAATAATCTTAACCAAGTTTTAGTATATGTCACGAGGTTTCCGTGCATATAAAGAACGCTGAAATCCGAGTTATAACGAAGAAGTTATGACCCGTTGGAGTTTCGCAACGGAACCGGTACGATACCAGAAAGCGTAAATAGTGAATTTACGATAGAGCGAGATTTAGCCTTAGCGATCTAAATGAAAGTCGTAGAATATGTTAAACTAAGAACATCGATAAAAAGAACGCCCAAATCTGACTTCGTATGAAGAAGTTATGATTTTTCGAAGTTTCGGACTAGCAGTATACAACCCGAAATTCGAATATTAGATCGAGCGGGTTTTAGCCGACACGACCTGAACAAGAACCGAAGATCTTGTTGAGGGTAGCGTAACGAGAAAAAAGATGGGCAAAAACGGATATCGGATGAAGAAGTTATGAGGATTTAACGGATCAATCATGTCCCGGCCCGTTAATAATATAAAATTTAAAATCGAGACAAAATTAGCCAACGAAGTCTAAACGAAAGTTGTAGAGTACGTTCCCACCTTCGCGTGGATATAAAGAACGTCGAAAATGGAGCTCGTATGCGAAAGTTACGAATTTTTAAAGTTGCAGCATGAAAATGCGAAGTCTGTGCGAGATTGATGACGTGGCGCGATCAGAGCCGTCGCTTGCAGCCCACGGTCTCGCTCGGATGAGCGACACGTCGCTCCTCGCTACGCCCAGCGTCCGGCTTCGTGCGCCTCGCGTCCGTTCGCTCTTGGTCCAGAAGGCGCCACGACGCCTCGTCCTACGCCCCGCGTACGAGGTCTGGGTACGTCCCGCGTACCTTCGCTTCCCCTCCGTCCGGTGCGAGACAGCTGGCTGCGAGCTGGCGCCCTTATCCGAGGGAACACCCCGCGTAGCTGCTAAACGCCCCGCGTAGAGGCAGCCTTCGGCCCCTATAAATACATGCGAGATGCTCCGGATTTTTCACACCATTTCTCACTCTCTCTCTAAAATCTTTCTCTCTCTAAGGTTCCAAACCCTCCCTAAGGTCTAGGTGAACCCTTAGCACCCTAAGGAAGCCCCGAGGCTCCCGGATTCCCGAGAAAAAGGAGTTTTTCGGTTTCGAAACGCTGCTCCAATTAAGTTCCGGTTTTCGATAAAATTCGCTGTAAGTATGCTACGCTTATGCAATTTTTAATATAGCTTCCAAATAATTATAGGAATGTTATTAGGTCGTTAAAATAGTTATTTGGGCTATTATTATGAGTTATATTGAGCATTATTAACGCTTAATAATAGTCAAACTGATTTATGAGTCGCGGTTATCGTTAAACTAAACCCTAGTTGTATCGGTACTAGGTTTTATCGAAGGAACATCGTTGTGAGAGTATCGAAGCGCTGTCCGAGTGCTGAGTCACCACCTAATCAGGTGAGTGCATGGTCCCTTTCATCTTACACATAGATATGAAGTATCTTTATATAAACTACGTGCTATGTGTGCATATTATCTGAATACTTGCTGTCTATGCTGGATGAACGTTTTATACATGTTTTAAAGGATTTAAACTGTATACGTATTTTATATATACGAATATGTTGGGTATGATGATGGGTAGATGAATGATGAGAGATAGGAGATGACGTGAGTATACATTGGCAGCTATAGACTTAGTGCCTATGGGACAAACACCGGTAGCTATGGACTTAGTACCTGTTAGACGTTGGTAGCTATGGATTTAGTACCTGTTGGTAGCTATGGACTTAGTACCTATTAGTTAGACACTGGTAGCTATGGACTTAGTACCTGTAGGAATTGGTAGCTATGGACTTAGTACCAGTTGAGCGTTGGTAGCTATGGATTTAGTACCCGATGAGTAAGATATAGCAGCTATGGAATTAGTGCTTTACGAACGAACATTGGCAGCTATGAATTTAGTGTCAGTCCTAGAACCCTGGAAGTAAGGGACTTCGGAATAAACGAATGAATAATAGATGACTCTTAGGTGAAATCCTTAAGAGTAAAGAAGATAACGGGAATGGGTAATGGGGTTAATTGTTTGATAATTAAACATAACAATTATATTATTGTGGGTTGAAAACCCTATGTACTCACCAGGTTTCCCAACCTGACCCACTCAGTTTATGTATATCACAGGTAACGAAGTGAAGTGACTTTACAATGAGAGAATTAAAGAGCTATAGATCACTAGTGTAAATCATTGTAAGTTCTGTTTATGCTTATGTTTCGGTATTAACGATGACATCCCAAACGTTTTAAGATGAATAAAAATACGTTTCTTCGAAGATGTTTTAATAACGTATTTATCATGTTTTTCTGGGAACAAATTCCGCAACCTTTTTATAAAATGAAGTACCCTGATTTTCATAAAGCATAAACAAAAAAATCGGTCTTTTCTGGCCGTGATTTTGGGGATGTCACAGTTGGTATCAGAGCATTAGTTTAAGCGAACTAGGAATATGAATTTATTTCTAGACTTAAACTTAGAATGCTAAGCGATGATTGTGAGGTGTGAGCACTAGATTATTTTAGGAATTGTGCCTAAAATGCTTTTATGTGCTAAATACTTGTGTCTGATATGGTGTTAGTTGTTCGGATCTATGGTCTGTTGCCGACCGGATCTGGAAACCTTATGTGTTTAGGATTCTAAACGTACGAATACGATATTAGAACTAGCATATAAACGTTTCGGAGTGATAAGGATGATTTAACCGTCAATCCTAAGTAAAGATCTAGATTCACCTTATTCGGTGTATAGATCAAGATGGCAAGAACCCGTAGCGGAAACGTGAACGCAAATGGGAACAGGAACCAACCCCCAGTGGTTCAGTAAATACCTGTTATTGATGAAGTTGCGCCTGAGCCAGTCACCATGGCTGGAGTTCAAGCCATGATTCGGGCTATGTTAGCTGAACAAAGGGAAGAAATGAGACAGATGTTGAATGGGGACGAACCTACCGTACATGTTGAACCGACGGAGCCAGTTCCCGAGCAATCTGAGGAAGGGAACTACATCCGCCAAGTGAGTCGAGTAGGGACTCAAGGTGAGCAAAGGGATGGCCCAGAAGGGAGAAACAACAAGGATGGGCGGATGTATAAGAATTTCTTGGGTGCGAAACCACCAAGCCTCTCAGGAACCCCGAAGCCGGTTGAGATTATGGATTGGATCTCTGAGATGGAGATGGTGTTTGAGAGCTGCAGCTGTAACGAGAAGCAGAAGACTGTCTTCGCAGTAAGACAGCTTAAAACCGGAGTCTTGAGCTGGTGGAAGCTATTGGCAGATACGATGCCACGAGGAGAAGCCTTAAGGATGTCGTGGGAAGAGTTTTTGGAACAGTTGAAAATGCAATACTGTTCAGAGATAGATCTGATAGACCTAAAAATGAGTTTCAGAACCTGAAGAAAGGAAAGATGAGTGTTGATGAGTATGCCACCGCGTTCACCGAAAGGATGAAGCTATTCCCCTACTTGGTGCCTACTGAACTCTCCAAGATTGATAGGTTTGCTAACGGACTGCCCACTGACTTTGGCCCAATGGTCAAAATGGCAACTACTTTGAAAGCAGCTGTTAGGGCAGCTAAGAACGTAGAGGCCCAGATAAGAGAAAAGGGTCTAGAAATAGATAAGGTAGGA